CGCCGCACTTATGGTACAGCAAACGGGTCGCAATCCCATAGCGCTCAGGGATGAGAGAGAGAGAGAGAGAGAGAGAGAGAGAGAGAGTGAGTTAAGATAACAAGTAACTATTTATTATAAATACCTTATTCTTTTGAAACAACGTTAACGTGATCGGGTGGAACATCACTCTTAATAAAGTGTGATCGTTGCCGTCATAGGTACCGACACTATCTAACCGGGAGTCAACTAAACACGTCCATTGACTATCGTATTGGTGGTCCATTCGGTCGGCTATACGCTTGTATACGTTGTCTATATTCGTCTGTTCGGACAACTCTTGCCTAATTATGGCCAGTGTTTTGTTGGTCATATCGGGGCTCATGTGGTTTAATACGATGTCTGGCGCCCACAGTTGGCGCCTACACTTGACCAGTGTTTGCTCATCCGGAACTGGATGGTCACAATTGGCGCTCAAATTTAACGTCAGAATCTCCTCCCTTAGTGAATTGATACAGTCGTGTCCCGGTGTCTGCGCGCATCCACACCTGACACAGCCTACCGCGCTATTATAGCGACAGTTGACTGTATGGCGCCACAAATCCTCCAGCTTGATCACATCGCGGCACCCGTTGTCCCAATAGTCGCACCGTATCATAAACCGGCCCAATGTGTTCACCATCGCTCTGAAACAAATCATGATCAATTAGATGATTTTATAATTATTAATTAATTATATAAATTATTATAAAAATTAAATTAAACTCACATTGGTGCTCGGTGGAATTGATCCGCTTTTAATTCTGTCCTATCGTAAGGACAGGTATTGTGTGTCTGAAGCCATTTAGTTATACAATCTTCACAAAATGTCTGTCGACAACAGGTTGTGGTCATCGGAGTGTTGAATATCCCTCGACATATATAACACGTGTATTCGTCCCGATCTTTGGCCGACAGATCGGGGAACCGATCGCTTAAATAGCCCGGCATTTATAACACTAATTACTTGTGCTTTAATGATTAAACTAAATTAAATGATACTTTTCAACTAATTATTGATTATGTAAAAAATCATAATAATGGCATTCAATGCATATCAATTCGTTAAAACAACTACATAATTTGCATATGAGTAATACAACCTTGTTAACATCCTGTAAATGTTTTATTTCATATAAGCTCATTGTAACAACAATTTTATATGTAATATAATATCTTGTTAAATTACATTTTCTGCGTGTTATTATAATTAAAATATTAGATATTAAATTAATTATATGCATGTAAAACTAATGTCATTTTAAGCATAAAATTATATTAAATATATATTGTATTGATGTGTAAAAATAACTAACAAGTTAGACATCACTAAACTTTTTAAATATAGCGGGCAATGATTGGCAGCAATCCATGTATAAAAGGCCTTAATATACAGATATAAAAGCATAACATTTGGTACTATTGAATATACTAATAAGAATAATACACCCTATATATAGCATTAACTACTGTACATTTTGCACGCGCTATTCAATACTAGTAAAGTACAGCCACGCACAGTAAACATTGAAACATGTATATTTCAATGCAAACGCATATACGCGTACAAACAATGCTAGTAATTTGTAGACAACTGTGCATTCAATTCACATAGAAATTCAATGGCAAACACTCTACAGATATGCGTAACGTAAACAATAGATAGTGGAAATCACGTGACTATCAAACAAACAAACCTTAACATAAAACTTTTAAACAACACAACCATTAAATCACAATTAAAATCACCACGACCAATTCATACACGCACATGGAGTACCCAGCTACTCTGGCCGAGTGTCACGTGGGCTTTATTGGGGCCGGCAATATGGCCCACGCCATGGCCACCGGGTTTGTTAAATCAGGTAAACACCCAAAACACTGGTAACCAGTTCTGGTTTTTTGGGTTAAAGACACTTATTAATTACATTTAACCCAAATATGTACACCACGTGTTCAATGTTCACACTTACAGGTGCTATACGGGCCGACCGGTTGACCGCCAGCGCCCCATCCAATCGCAATCTCCACAAGTTTACGGTATGTATGCCTCCACTCCCTCTCCACCACCCCCCTCCAGTACTGGGCAGTGATTTACCCCCTGTTTACTCACCTCATTGTAGGACTTGGGCTGTCACGTGACTAACAATAGCAACGCCCTGTTCGCCCACTTGACACCCGACGCCCGGCACCGGACACTCAAAGTCATATTCATATGCGTTAAGCCGGGAGTGTTTACCGGCGCCGCCGACGACCACCCGGTCATAGATCTGGACCAATACGAAGACGAGCGGCGACTGGTGGTGGTGTCGGTGATGGCGGGCGTCAAGTTGGCCACAATCCGCGCGCGACTGGTGGACAGACTGTCGTTTCTGCCGTCCGGTGCTGTGGATTTGATTCGCGTGATGCCCAACACGGCGTGCGCTTTGAACGCCGGGTGCTGTGGTGTGTGTACGGCGCCGGCCGACGCTGTCAGTGGCCGCCAACGGTTGGACGAGTTCGCCGGGCGACTATTGGCGCCGTTGGGCACCACTGAGTTCGTCGACGAGCGCCTGTTGGACGCCGTGTGCGGTCTGGGCGGCAGTGGTATAGCGTTTGTGAGTATACTGTGTTGGACTACCGGTGCTAACTATAACCATAACACTAACAATCATTACAGGTCTACACTATGATACACGCCATGGCCGATGGGGGCCTGAAAATGGGTTTACCCCGTACTGTGGCCACCAATATAGCCACGCAAACACTGCTGGTATGTCCGCACCTATTAGTACAAGTGGTGAACACTAACCTCCCGGCCCTCTGGGTATCTGACATGTCATTGACTTATAGGGCGCCGCACTTATGGTACAGCAAACGGGTCGCAATCCCATAGCGCTCAGGGATGAGGTGACGTCACCGGGAGGTACGACAATACACGGTCTGCACGCACTGACCGCCGGGGGCTTTGACTCGGCTGTGATGGCGGCCGTAGAGGCGGCCACTAAACGCTCGCAGGAGTTGTCCGGACCCTGACTTACTTAGCGCTGTGTTTGCGCTACAAATCTATTGTGTATTTTATTTGTATTGAGATTTTTATTTAGGGTATAATTCAATGATCTGTTGTTTTAGTTTGTTTTGTGTATAAATTTGTTGTTATTTTTTGATATGATTTTGATTGAAATAATTTAGTTTTTACCAAATTATGTAATTGAATCTCTCTCTCTCTCTCTAAATTAATTAATTAATAAAGTTAACTCTTTAGTTAAAGTTTTTTATATTTAAGGTAAAAAGTATTAAAAATTTTAATAATTAATTAAAAATTACTCAACAAAACAACAAAAAATCAAAACTCAAAATCTGCGACACATAACTTGTAGCAACTATTGAAAGCATTGACACAACTAATCAAACCGACAACAAGTCATACCACAGACACTACCGGTGCAGTCAATCGCCACAACCTTTGCAGACATACACACAGATAGAAACAATCTATTGGTAGACAAATTATTATAAGATTGTAAATTTACTGTATTGCTTAATATTAGCATTTTACAGTATTATAATAAACTGAAGCTACGTGATTATATTACCATTTATAATTATTTAAACTATTTTTGAATTATTATATTTATTATGTTAAAAACTGGTTTATTCTTTATTAAACATGTTTACTTTTTATAAATTAAATTTCGAATAGAAATAAATTAAATCATAAATTATATGCCATAAATTAAATGCCGTCATAGCATAATAATTAAAAATAATTTGAATAAGCTAAAAGAAAAAGCCATAAATATAGATATCGCAAAACATAATGGGAAATATTTTATATTATAAAATTATATAGCCTTCAAAAATTTTTATGATTTTAGTTTTCTAGTTTCAAAAATTTTTAGTTTTCTAATAAGTTGTACGCAAAGTGATCATTAAACAACCTTGATATACAATAATATTATTTTCTGACTTGTGAGTTATAATTAGGCTAATTTTGAGCTAAAATACAAATTATTTGATTATATCTATCAAATAACAAATAAGAAAAATAATAAATTCAACCTTATATTGAACATCAAAATTATTACAGCCAAAATTGATTGATTTATTCCATAAATAAATTTACATGTAAGTAAAATTTGAGTAATATTTTTATTTCTACTATATTCATAATAAAATTTTATATTTTATTAATCTTAAAAATTTAACAAAATTATTCAAATAATAATATTGAGAGTTATTTATAACAAACTATTTATCTCGATTATATAGTATATTTCTATTGTAATGTTTCAATATTATTTATAATGTTATTCAATATTGGATAACAATTATTGTGATAATTATTGTGATAACAATTATTGTGTTAAAATTATTATTATTTAAAAAATTATGCTAGGTAATTACAATAATTTTGTGTATTACATGTTTGACCACAAGTCATTTTTAAGTTAACGTATTGTATCGCTGTGTGAACCTTGTTTTAATACCAATGATTCAATAATAAATATTTATATAATTTTTATATGTATTTATTGTGAATAGAAAAATATAAATGGCATCAGAGATCGCGATTGGTTGGACAAACCTTACGGTATGTGCGGTGCCGGGAGTGTTGGGCGGGAACGGGAAGCGGATATTGAACGGCATTTCTGGTGCGTTTACGGGCCGGGCGTTGAACGCGTTGATGGGTTCGTCGGGTTCCGGGAAATCAACGCTTTTAAAGTTTTTGAATGCCAGCAATGAATAC